GGGTGGGTGACTTGCCGACACGATCACGGTGGGTGAGGGACTTGCCGACATGATCCCGGCGGGTGAAGGACTTGCCGACATGATCCCGGTGGGTCGGGGACTTGTCGACATGATCCCGATGGGCGGGGGACTTGCCGACACGATCCCGGTGGGTGGGAGACTTGCCGACATGATCCTTGTGACGAACTAGCCTTATAGATATCCCAATTACCAGTCGCGTCAGCTCCGCAGTTCGGATGGTCTTGTTACGCCCACCAATGACCGGGAAATGTAAGGCACTCCCTTATTGGCGTAATGAGCAAAGCTTGGACTGAATGGATTGAAACTCCAATGGCAAGCTTAATTCAATGTTTTACAGATGGCCAGCGAAAAACAGTAAAATAAATTAGAAATAATGATTTTACAAACGGATGAGAAGATGGGAACAAAGTAAAATAACAAATCGGATAACCTGAACGAATAGTTGCAAATCGGACACGAGAGATATAGTAGTAAATCTATTACGCGGAGAAAGCCAGAGTAAGGAGTTCACAAAATTAAGCGCACGATCCTAAAACAGAAAACAAGAGTAAATAACTACCCAAAACAAATCAATATGTTCACTAAAATCTCGGTATTTCATGAACATTCAAATTTCACTAATATCGCACGCAACAACCCACCCTGGCGTCGGGGTTAAAATCTAATAAGAGATGAACCAGCACTCAAATCTGGATCAGCAGCTTATCTGACGGGCACAATCAATTTAACGCCCATGCACGTCAAAGCTGGTCGCGCTAATCTTAACGGTCTGACTGCCAGTGGTGGAAATTTTCATACTACTACATTACAATCCTGTTGGGTGGGGTCTTGTCGACATGATACCGGTGGGTAGGGGACTTGATGACATGATCCTGTTAGGTTGGGGGAGTTCGACATAATCCTGTTGGGTGGAGGACTTACTGACATGATCAGCGTGGGTGGAGGACTTGCCGACATGATCATTTCGACGGATGAGAGCCAAGAATGCCGGCGTCAAACAAGCCTGCTGCCACATGAGTAACTTCTAGGCTTTACTCGTGCAACCGTTCTCCTAATATAATTAAATATATCACTTTCATGATGAAAATAACTGTTATATGTTCACTAAGAATTTAGGAGTAGTGAAAATATGATGAATTTAGTTGGCGTTCGCTTGCTTTTAAATTCTTGGTGATGTTGAGATTTAATGGCGATTAATGATATAAGTATTGTTAGCCTATATATATTGCCCTAATCCGCTGTTTTATCATTAATTTGATTTCCGTACTATATCAGTTTCTTGTGACACAAATTACACTCGATGGATATGCTTAAATGTGATTTTCAAGATAAGAATAATTATCTTATATTAAGAATTGATACTTTAATTTTGATCAGTTTTAGGCGAAAGCAGAAATTTAATTTATTCAATGATTGTGCATGCATTATAGAAACCAAGCATTAGCTTGCAATCGACGTCAATTCGTGTTATCGATTTTTAAAAAAATGATAAAAACGCAATGAATGCTTTATTATAACTTTAATTTCATTTACCTGAAGAGCATACATGTTAACGAACGCTCACTTATCAGTTAACTGGAAAGCATTATTCGTAGCTGAGTTTTCTCACTACTAGTGGAAAATAAACAGTGAAACAATTGCACAGTAATGACTAATGTGTCCAATAATGTTAACAGGAGCTGGGGGTGCCAATAAGCGTGCGGGCGCGCATGCAGCTCAACATGGCGGTTGTGCCGTACAAAAGTTTGAATTTCCTGGGCCTTGGAAGAATAGAGTGAGTACCGAGCAGAGAGAAGGCTATGTGATATGTACGGAGAGCTGCTCATGGTACGAGAGCCACTCATGGTACGAGAGCCACTCATGGTACGAGAGCTGCTCATGGTACGAGAGCTGCTCATGGTACGAGAGCCACTCATGGTACGAGAGCTGCTCATGGTACGAGAGCCACTCATGGTACGAGAGCTGCTCATGGTACGAGAGCCACTCATGGTACGAGAGCNCCTACGTGTACCGGTGAGTCATCCATGTGGACCCTACGTGTACCGGTGAGTCATCCATGTGGACCCTACGTGTACCGGTGAGTCATCCATGTGGACCCTACGTGTACCGGTGAGTCATCCATGTGGACCCTACGTGTACCGGTGAGTCATCCATGTGGACCCTACGTGTACCGGTGAGTCATCCATGTGGACCCTACGTGTACCGGTGAGTCATCCATGTGGACCCTACGTGTACCGGTGAGTCATCCATGTGGACCCTACGTGTACCGGTGAGTCATCCATGTGGACCCTACGTGTACCGGTGAGTCATCCATGTGGACCCTACGTGTACCGGTGAGTCATCCATGTGGACCCTACGTGTACCGGTGAGTCATCCATGTGGACCCTACGTGTACCGGTGAGTCATCCATGTGGACCCTACGTGTACCGGTGAGTCATCCATGTGGACCCTACGTGTACCGGTGAGTCATCCATGTGGACCCTACATGTACCGGTGAGTCCTCCATGTGGACCCTACATGTACCGGTGAGTCCTCCATGTGGACCCTACGTGTACCGGTGAGTCATCTATGACGAAGATCTTTCATCGCCGTGTGGGACGATAAATTTTTCTTGCACTAAAAATGAATCCAGATAAGGATTAAATTCATTCATTTATTCACCATGGAGGTATACAAGAAGTTGGGTCTAGTTAACTGCTCGAGTTATCGATGAACAATTGAACAATGATTAAGTAAACGGTATTTTCAATGAAAACTGACAGTTGTACACAGTTCGGAAGGGATAAGCTTTATTACGAATCATATGGGACTCCTTATTCTAACACTCAATCAAACTGTAGGACAGATCTTTATTTAAGAAAAATGAGCAAAGTAATTTTTCTTCGTTTGAAGAAAAGGAGAAGAACATGCCACCAACAATCAAATGAACACTTGTTATTTAATTCCTGCTAACACACAGAGTGTCAGAGCAGAGTTTCAATACAGAGTATTACAAGAAGGCAACCATCGACTTCCACTCATTCTCGCAGAAAGTCCCACAAGAATACGCACATCAGTATTCTGTAACTCAAGCAGGGAGTATCACCTTAAGACAAACATCAATGCTATCTCACTCAAGCAGGGTTTTATAAGAAGACAAACATTAATTTTCTGTCATTCGCGTAGAAAGTTTTACAGTAAATAAAACAAATATCAAAGTTCTCTCATTCGCGCATAGCATTTCACACTAAGATAAACATCAAAATTCTCTTATTTGCGCATGGGATTTTACAATAAAATAAACATCAGAGTTCTCTCAGTCGCGCATACAATTTTACAATAAGACAAACATCAAATGTTCTGTCATTTGCGTAGAGAGTTGCAAAGTAAATAAGACAAATATCAACGTTCTGTCATTCGCGCGGCAAGTTTCACAGTAAATAAGACGAACGTCAATGTTCTGTCATTCACGCAGAGAGTACCACAAGAAGACGAACCTGGAATTCCACGAGAACGCGACGGTGTCTTTCTACCAGCAGCGCTGGTGGGTGTGGGACCAAGAGGCCTCAGGCAACCTCACCGAGGACGACCCCATCTGTATCCTCAATACGGTGCCTGTGGTGAGCTGAGTAAGCGAGTGTGCTATAATGAAGCGCTTCTTATTCCATACTGCATCCGTATAACAATATTTAAACAGCTGAGTATTGGAAGATGTGTTTTACGAGGCTGTTTAACTAAATTTATTTTATAATCAATAGTAATCCTCTCATATATGGCCGATGGTGTGCTATTTAAAATTTGATTACCCAGTCTCAAAACACAACACTTGGTTTAAGCGGGGGTTTTACAGCCATGCTGGTCAGCCGTTTATGGTGACAGACTCACTAGTTAGCTCCCTATACATCTGACTATAGCATCTCAATGTGACTCTGGCTAAAATGATCGGTATAGAGTAAACTAAAATCGCAATAAGATTAAATTATCTCGAATCACAGTCAAAGATTTTTTCAAGCTTCTTGCAGCTATACTATTTTCATTGATAATTGGGGCAATATTTTTCTCGGACCTGTTAACAAATGATCGTTCGCGAGTTGTGACGGTAGCAACTAAGTCACTCTGTTGCGGGAAAGCTGAGCAACATATTTCCTCGATAGCAAAACTGAATAGCAGGTAATTTCCTAAACAACGTTTGAATGGAACATAGAAGATAACTTTGTTAAATTTATAGAAAAAATACAAAACATATATAAATGGATTAAGCGTAGATTTATATAGGTAACAATCTAAGTAGATCAACGCTACAGGTAATAATACGAAGGTTCCAATGTAATGAGGCTCGAGAGTCCGGCCATCCAAATAAATGTCAAAATCCGTCCAGACTAGAGGTTCAGGAGCCGATAACAGCCCCATCAGTGGGCTCAGGGAAAGTTTTTGATGAACACCACACAATTTGGACCACCGCATCGGCTGTAAATCACAACCATTCACAGGTGGACATTATGTTGCGTAAACGGTGATTCCGGATATGATTGAATTACACAATAAACTTAGCAGTAAATGCATTGGGGCTCAGTACCAATGTTCACCTGAACTTTCGACTCGTTCCGCACTGCATGGCGCTTGATAGCGACAATTGTGGTTCATTCCATCAGTACTTGGTTGTAGACTCCTAGAAGGTTTTTTACAATGGTCGTCCCAAAACAGCATATATAGCACTTTGTCACATTGTTCCTGTATCAACTTTTTCAGTACAGGACCGGGGTTTCGACACATTGCTCCTGCACTTTCTTCTTTATCGTACGGTAACCGGGCTGTGACACATAATTATTTTCTCTACTGAGAAAGGGATTTGATGAGGGCCTTGTCAGAGAAATCATAGAAGCTGGTTTTCTCCAGCATCACAACCTTCCTCGTCTGCCGGTCAGGTACTGGTCTTCCCCGGGTCCGTAAGCGTCAAAAGCCGATGGTACTAGACCCTGTTTCATGTTCACTCTGATTCAATCCTTGATCTCAGATTCGAGCAATGCGTGGCAGAGATACGCTGCTTGTTGGTTCTTCCAATCTCGGCCTGCTACCACAAGGAAGCTCGATTCAGGCCGGGAACTTCATACTTCGCTACGAGCTGCTCATGAAGACGCACTTTTGACTCGTTTCCCCCCTTTCTACGTTTTTCCATGCCAACAATAATGTACAATATTTAACTATTATGAAGCGTATCATGATTATTTGATTGCGACTTCTGGTTTATAAATAACTTTTCAGCAGAGTTCTAAAAACAGTTAGTGCTCCCAGCAAAACTTAAGGCTGCGACCCTTCGTAGAGGCCGCAGTAACTTACCCCACCATTGATGATCAAACGTTTATTATGTTATATTCCATCTCACTTGAATACAATCTTGTACTTGTTTTACAGTCTTGCGCAGTTCTTCACTAGTTGAAGTGCGGCATTTACTGGGGAAGCGGCATACTCGAATGTAATTTCTAGAAGATTTTAACTGGACATGCATGGGCTTCTAGCTAGATCGCAGAAGAAGTGATAATAAATAAATAAATCACACTCCAGCAACTGTCAACGCTTAAATTCATTAATGGGCCAAAATAGAACAGTCCAAGAAGTGATGGTAGAAACTAAACGACTACATACATTTTGTTTACAGTCAGCAGCTTACTCAAGTCGTGACCACCCCTTTCAACTCACCGGTCTAAACATGGTGCTAAACCAAGTTAACGAGACTCTGACGGGCGTTTTCCCGGCTCGGCAGATACTCTTCGACGGATATCAGGTGAGTCTCAGGTTTCTACAAACAACTAATTTTTTGAAGAGAAGAAAATTTTGATTACCCTTGGAATTTAAGAAAATCTAACCTTGCTCCCTTTTGGAAAGTATTAATGTAGCAGTTCAATTTTTTCGTACATGGGTAAAATTAGAAGAAATACGTGTACAGCTATTCTCATTATAAGTTATAAAATAGTGCGATTATGTAAAAACGTAATTCAAAAGGTTAAGACCGTAAGTAAAATTTCGGCCCTGGTACAATCAATTTTCGCAATTGTCTCGGGAATTTTCGCAATTGTCTCGGGAGACAAGTTGAGGAAAGACTAACTATAATTAAAGTTATTGCGGGTAACATCTACTATAAGGTNCGAGAGCTGCTCATGGTACGAGAGCTGCTCATGGTACGAGAGCTGCTCATGGTACGAGAGCTGCTCATGGTACGAGAGCTGCTCATGGCACTAGAGCTGCTCATGGTACGAGAGCTGCTCATGGTACGAGAGCTGCTCATGGTACGAGAGCTGCTCATGGCACTAGAGCTGCTCATGATCTTAGTGACACTCACAATATGGGAACCGCTCACGATATGTAAGTCATTAAAAGCAATCGTCTGCAATTAATTATACCAAGCAATTTTAGCAATTAATTTCTTTTAATGGATGATATCTATATTCTCATCGATAATGAATCTTTCGATACTCTCACATTAGCTCATTATTCATCTTGCATTGGAACTGCAGAAATTAAACTTACCTCAAATGAGGTATAGACCAAGTTTACCGAGGAATTCCTAACTAAATATTACCAAAGGTACAGAATCTATGAATAATTTAACTAATAATAATTGACAATAGTACAAATTTTGCAATTCTAGCTGAATGTTTGTTGAACTGAGGGATATTTAATGGAAGAAATTAGAAGTTAAAGCTAAGATTTAGTAACGCAGGCTGCATGTCGTACTCTATAGCGACAACGCAATTTTTTTTGACCACATCCTCGACCGCGGATTAAGCACGAATATCCTAGACTTGCACCAGGATATCAAAAACGAAAACAATTGATTTTGTGCGAGTTCGTACGAAAACTTTAAGACAAAGTGAGCTCAAAAGCCACCGCATGGAAGCTCGGATATTTGTTCTTCGTCCCGGAAAACGAAAGAAGCGTCGTCAAACTTTCAAGAAAACTATTAATAAGATTTATTTTCTGGTTTTCAATTGAACTTGTATGGAGGAACAACTGAAGCTAAATTATACCAATATACAAGTATATCTAAAATAGTCAATAATTTATTATGCTACACGGTTATGTTTCGTATTCAGATTGAAAAGTGTTAATGTTATTTCTTAGTTCCAAAGATTTTATTGCTAACTAAACTTCAACTTTTCAGCATATTGGCGAAAGTGAAGGAAGTGATCTTGCCCCTAATCTGGTTCGAGGTGAGCGCGGGGCTGACGGAAGAGCTTGCGAAGGACCTGAAGCCGGTGATGTTCCTACTCCACACGCCCACCATGACCATCATCTGGAGCCTCTTGGTCGTGTGTGGAGCTT